TTGTCTTTTGGGGTTGATTGTTACATCAAATAAATCAGGTATTTATTTTATTTTTATTTAACAACAAACATGTCTTCATTTAGGGGCAAAGGTCAAAGGTGATTTCAATTACTATGGCCAGCTACTGAGTTGTTTTTAGTCTTTGTTTCATTTCCATTTTTGTTTGCCCTTTTGGGTTAATTGTTACATCAATTAAATCAGGTATTTTTCATAATAACATTAATTAGAATATGTGTTGTTACCTTAACTCATGGTCAGTGACAAGCAGGAATTCAACCTAATAACTAGGGGTGAACAATTTATCATCATCTTTCATTTTAAAATTGTCACAGAATTATCAATTAGAATGTGATGTCATCAACTTTTTTCTTTCACCCTGGAAGAGAAACAGTTTGCACACATTTTTAGATTAATTTCCAGAGGAATCCATGTTTATAAAATCCATGTTTACACAAAGAGAATATTAAATATCCACAACCCTTATTGTCACTTTTAGGAAAACAGTATTTAAAATAAAGTCATTTACTGTTTACTGTTGGTGTTTTCAAGTACTGTAGAATACTTTATTTTCGTTTGGAATTTATTTTCGCTATTTTCGCTGAAGGGATGATTCCGTGAAAATAAAATCCAGCGAATATACTAATTTTCCTATATTTCACGTTCAATTAATCAAAAATCAGTGAAAATAAATTCCATATAAAGAATGCCCAAAAAGCCTTTTCAGCGAAAATTACTTCCAGCGAAAATAAAGTATTCCACAGTATTCATAGTATAAGGATATGCAAAATTTGATATCTACTTTCTGGTATGTGTGTTGATATGTGATTGAAGTTCTCAGTCTTCGTCCTTGTCAATCAAACATATTTTCAACCAATGGTTACAAAGAATACGCTTAGAAAAGTTTAATTGCGGAAATTGAAATGAACAAGATTATCACCGTATTCAAAAACACAAAACTTATGTACTATTACAGAGCTATGTAAGTAACTACGAACCTTACGAAAACAGTCTGAAATCAACACTAACTAGTTTTTCACAGACTTATGCATTTGCATTAGTATTTCTGGAAATGTACATTCTCTCACGATTTGTTGGTCTCTTTGAAATGCGTGTGATTTCAAATTTGCATGTTAATCACATATCACCCCAGTTGCATGCCTTTATCTCATACATCCTTGAGTTGATGGTTCCATGAATTAAAAGCTGATACGTATTCTTGTCTACAGGTTAAACGTAATCTTACTACAGTTATTGATAGCGATGACAAAGAAACAATTCATTGTGAGTTTGATTTGAGTGGCAGTGGACTAGAATTTATTTCAGGCGATGCTCTCGGGATTTATCCATGCAATGACCCAACTGATGTAGAACAACTGTTATCAGTTCTGGGCAGCACCGGGCAGGAGCAGCTGAACCCACCTCAGTGGGCGTATCAACCAAAACCAGGTACACTGTAACCTCAATATAATGAACATCTTTATAATGAAGTTCCTGATATAACAAACCCAATGTATTATGTGCTTCATTATAGTGAACATTTCACTATAACAAACTAATTGTATGTCTCCCAAAGAGTTCGTTATAACAAGGCTACAGTGTATTTATAGCTGGCATTGATGACTTCACTATTACGTAGATGTAATGACTTTATGTAGGTATTACTACAGTATATCACTTACAGTAGTACCAACAAGTTGTTTTTGATTGCTCGTTATGTAATTGAAGGATAGCTGTTCTTGTTCATGTTGTCATGTTTATTTTCAGTGAATGACTGTCAAATTTCACATAAACAGTACATTCTTGTTGAGTGGAAACCAGAAACAGAGGATTGTATTTTACGCTGTAATACTGATTATATGTAAAGCACTAATTTTCAAATACTACCGGTATTTCTAACTTTAGTGAAGCTTTTTTGTTTTTTGACACTTTTTGCCAAAACAATTTTCATTGTGCTGGTATTTTTTTTTTGCTTTAATATTGTGCTCAACAAAATAGAAAAAATTAAATTCTGTATTTGTTCTCTTGTATAGATGGAAAAATCTCGCTAAAAAAGTTGCTACAGATGTATTATGATTTGAAGAATATTAAACCAGAATTATTGAAAGTAATACAGCATGGTCAGAAAGATATGAACAACACACTTAATAGACTACTTGTTGATGGGGTCAGTCGGTTAAAATTTCTCATTTGCAAAGATGTAAAAAATAGAAAATGATAATTATGTGGTAGCATAGTGGTCGAATGGTATTATGTGAAACATTTATAAAAAAATTACAAATAAAATAATTTTAAAATTATAATAGCGCCCTCGTGTACCATGTTGCACTTTTGTTTTTATTTTTCCAGAGGGTGCATATTAATACTGTGTGTATCATGCCATGAATTTTGTGTATTGCGTTACCAAAACGAAAAAAAAAACACTTTATAATTTGGTTTCAGTTATCTGTTAAGAAAAACAAAATGTTGGATGAATACCTCAAAAAAAGAGAAGTTGTTGATGTCTTAAAAGAATTTAATTATGAGAGTGTTGCCATGGAAACCATATTGACTAACATGAAAGGACTTCAGCCACGTTATTATTCAATATCATCTTCTCCTCTAAAGGTAAGTTGTATGTAATTTACGCAAATGAACACATTGCTGATCAAAAAATGAAATTAAAGTAACATTCACACTTTGCAAAAATGTAAAAACTTCACTCCTAAAACAAGCAAAAAACATAAAGTATTTTTGAATGGTGCTGTTTTAACTCAAACATATGATATATTAACATATCCTGTCCTCACTTCCCCTTCCCGCTTATTTTATTTTGAGAGTACTGGAGGGTCTTATCTCTTAGTCAAAAATACCTACAATGTAACTGAATTTCAAATACAAATAAAGCCCCCTAACTCAGTATCATTTACAAATGTAGATTCTTTTAAAATCCCCTATTCATATTCTGCAGTTAATTTCTCATTAACCATAAACAATCTTGATACTAGTAATTGATGGATATATTGGTTCGGGAGAATAACACACAAATTTGTGAAAGTGGAAATGCAACTTGAAAAATATAGTGTGCTCTTTTCAAAAATGACAATAGTGTTCTCTTTTCAAAAACTTTTTTTTTTTTCATCCCTTCTTGCAATCATTTTGAATTTCTTGGGATGTATTTGCTCAGGAAAACAAATATTTCTAATTTTTAGACCAATAATTTATACTGCTAAAGTATGTTTACTGATTATGTATTTTATGCATTATGTGTCTCTTGTACCTATCGCTTGTAGGACAAAAATACTGCTTGTATAACTGTTGCTGTAGTGAGATACAAAGTACTCGGCAAACTACGATCTGGTGTTGCAACTACTCATTTGCAAGACAGGATGTCTGTCATTGAAACATGTCCTGTGTTTATCAGCCGAAATACAGACTTCAGGTTGCCTATGAACAAAAACCTACCTATTATCATGATTGGCCCAGGCACAGGCATCGCTCCATTCAGGGCATTTATCCAGGAGCGAAGTAAGCAAATGGAATGTAACTCATTTAGTTTAGAATTATGACTACAGAAAATATTTGATATTATGTTTTGATTTATAATAAGTTTGCGCTCTATTGATTGAATTCAGAGTAGGATCAACATTTTTTTAGTTTTTTTTTTTATCTCAAGTTCATGATGAGTCAGTCGGAAAGAACATTTTATATTTTGGCTGTAGGAACAAAGACAAGGACTTTCTATACCATGATGAGATGGGTAAGTTTTCCTAATAAACTAATAAATCAGTCAGTGTGTATTATTGCTATACATCAGATATCAAAAACAATAGCAATTACCTGTCAGTAAAATGCTAACATGTTCCAAAGTGTTCTATTAGCATGTCTTTCTTATTTGGAAATTGTAAGTTGGGTTTATGTCAAATTTGAACACTTTCCTTTGTAAACTTCAGGTGCAGAAATGAGTACGTGAAAAAACAAAAATGCTATCGCAGAATGCAAACACTCAAACAGTGCAAATAGTTTTTCGTTGCCATATTAGGCTGTTATCTCCCATTAAATTATTACCATACTACAAGCTGGGAAATCATGTATAATATAAGGTTATCATGAGAATACTGCAAAGTTTGCACTCGGGCAGTACGGTAATGCATCAACCTCAACTTATGCATCGGCCAGTATGATCACCATTCAGTGTTCATCATCAACTTGTAGCTGGTTTAGATAGGAATTGTTTGCTTCTGGATATTTGTAATTTTGAGTCTTGAACCAAATATTTATATGGCTGGTCATTTATGTATGAGTGCCTCAAAAACACTGGATGCGACCATATGTGGTAGCAGGTAGCAAAGTGGTTTTGCGGCCACTGTTGAACCATTCTGCCACCAAGTCAAAAAGCCATTCAAAGAGCATTTAGTAACAGAGAAATATTTGTATGTTTTTGTATTGTTTAATGACTGTTATTTGACCTTCTTAGTTGTTGCTTTCTATTTTTTAAAGAGACGTGGGTCAATGAGGGTCATCTGACGCTGAGAACTGCTTTCTCAAGAGATCAGAAATCAAAGATCTACGTACAAGATTTACTCATTCAAGATGCATGCCTTGTTTGGAAGACTTTACAAGTGAGTTGTCAACATGTGCAAAATGTTAAAAATGTCTTTGTTAATGCTAGTGGTAATAACAGTATGTATATAAAATACATTTGCCACAGACAAGTCTGTTGTTTGGGACTACCTAACATTCATCTGTTATAATTTGATGCTCAATTCTGTTGTCAAGTTGGCCCCATCATACAAGTACGCATCCATTTTTCCTGCCATTGAATCTGTAGCACACTGATCCATGGGATGGATTGTCATTAAAACTAAGAGACCTATATTTGATGGTATGGATATCGAAATTGCTGAAAGTATTCTAGGATCTGTCTGGATTTAACCATGCTCCATAAAGTACTGTGGAATACTTTATTTTCGCTGGAATTAATTTCCGCTGAAAAGGCTTTTTGGGAATTTTGTATGGAATTTATTTTCACTGATTTTTGATGAGTTTAATGTGAAATATAGGAAAAAAAGTATATTCGCTGGATTTTATTTTCACGGAATCATCCCTTCAGCGAAAATAGCGAAAATAAAGTATTCTACAGTACATTTATTCAGAACTGAATCAAATCTTCATGAATACACACATGTTGGAAGTGTCAAACAAACAAACTGGAGCAGAAAAAAGATCACCGTGACCAACACTGAAAACCATTAGAAATGAATATTACATATTATATTATCTTCAATTGTTTCACATAATAGTGCCAGGATTTGAATAAAGTTTTAGGAATGATCAACATGATTTTTTTTGCTCCTGATTATTGTCATTTTTTTTTACTCCTGTGTGGGAAGCCGTTCTGTGGTTTAGTGTGTCTGTGAGTATGTACATGTATGTGTGCTGTTTTTGTGTGTCTCAAGAATCAATTACCAGATTTTAATGAAACTTTGTACATAGATGCACTGGGATAATGCGCAGACCTAATTATTTTTAGTTGAAATCTGTGCATATTAATTACCTACTTTGCATAGTAATTTCTCACTTTTTTCTCAAGAACCATTTAACAGATTTCAATAAAACTTGATACATAGATGATCTTGGGTAATGTTCAAACCGGATTAGTTTTCAATGGAAACCATTTAAATTAATGACCTAATTTGCATATTAATTAGCCAATATTCAACTTTTCCACCAATATATCTCTGATTGATTACCTGTTATTAGTTTCATGTGTCATTCTTAATATGCATAACTGTAATGCTGCATATACTGACATACAACCAGTGCTGTAATGAAGGCATCTGACAATCTGATATGACTATTGTATCAGAGGACTACTGTAAAAATGTTGACCACTTTCAAATAATTAGTTTTGAAAAAATGGTCAGATTTTTAGATTAAAAAATAATGATATATTTTTCGATCGATCAAATTTTTTAAGAGTAAAATTCAGCAAATAATAACAGTTGGATAATATGCATTTTCATCACAAATTAAACATCAATCAAAATTTTGGTTGATCAAAACATTTTTCATGCCAAAAGGAAAATGTCATTGTTGAGTATTATCCTAAACCCCAACTCAAAACCTCATCAAGTATTATGAGAAGCAAAAGTAGAAAAACTAGAGGAGGCCTTCAAGAGAATTGTTAAACTTTTCACCACCAATTCCCTCTTTTTATGACAAATTCACAAAATAGTCTCATTTATAGTCGGCACTTTCTTTCAGAAGATTGGGACAAAAATGGCAAATTTTTTGAGTACAAACTGAAAACTGACTCACATTTTGTCTGTTGGCGCCAAAATTAGGTTTCATTTCTAGAAATATTGAAGAATATAAGTAAAAAGGGCAGACAAATTTAGCCGAGAAAGAGAGGTTGTGAAAAAGTTAACTTGGAAAGTTAGGTCTCTCCATGATTCAATTTTCAGGTAAATTGCAGTTATATTTTAAAATACTGTATTTGCTCTATTAGAAGTACATATGCCTACTGTAAATATAAATGACAAAAACAAGACTATGGTCAAACTAAGAAATGTTTCAATTATTTTGCATGCAATAAACACAAATTTTACTTAATGTGTGAATAAAGTATTCCTCATTTGTACTTCATGCCTCCAATACCTTCAGCACACGTTCTTTCTAAACTTTCTCTGATTTCTATTTTTTGTTTCTTAGGATGGAGGACATTTGTATGTGTGTGGTGATGCCAAACACATGTCCAATGATGTCCACAGCGCATTGCTGGATGTATGTCAGTCACAGGGCAATATGGACCAATCAGAAGCTTCCAAATATCTAACTTTATTGGAGGAGAGTCAGAGATATCAGAAGGATGTGTGGGTCACATGATGGAATCTTTCACCACCATCCTTTCCACAAAGTATAATCCCATTCCAATTTTATTGTTGCTAATCAAAATTAAAAAAACTATGATGGCTATTTCACCACGTTTGTTGCATTCCAAAAATGAAAATTGTAGTTATTTCGGAATTCAAATCTGTTGGTAAAGAAACATATTTTCATCAAGAGTATTTAAAACATGTAATAAATATTTATACTGTAACAGAATTAAAGATTAAAATGAATTTATGATGATGTTTCTTAAGTAAATTTTAATCTGTGCCAGTCACAGAAGCTTATTTCCATGACGATAATACAGTGAATACTTCATCAGCAAATTCCCAATATATTTTTACAACTGTCAACAGATTTATTTGAGGCTTATTTATCAATATCTGGCTGATATGATATGATGACCGATCACCATGGAAACAACTAGTATGCTGCATAGCAATGTCTTTACCAGCTGAACCAAAATCCTCAGGTGTGAAAGTTTGTGACGTTGAGATTGTGATTGGGTAATGAGAAAATAACTGAAGAATATGATTTAAAGTGAGCCTCCTAAAGCGGGTGGAGTCGTCGCCTGCGCCAGATTTCATAGCGTGTCTTTGGTTACAGACAAGCGTCTACACATGAGCAAGTGATAGAGGGACTGTGCCATGAGCCTTTGCAGCATATGTTGTTATCGTCGCTTGGGATTCAATCCCCACGCATGCGCAGGCGACAACCCTCTCGCTTTAAATCAAGCTAGATTTGTAAACAATGATTGAATCAGGAAACCTTTCAAAATCATTTTAGAGCTTGAAGGTATGTCTGTCTATAAAGGATAAGAACCTCTAGTACCCCAAAAATGAAATGTGAGGAAAGATGGGGGGGGCATTTAAATATTTTATTTCTGTATTTTTTAACCTGTTGCATTTCATGATTATTGTTTCCACAAAAATATTGTGGGTCAAATGTAGCATTACAAAAAAGTGTTTAAGGTTAATTCTCTCATCTGTTTCATGTTCAACTTTGAACTTCAAATCTATTAATCAAGTAGCACTAGCTGGGGGTTGATCATGTACAATGTATAGTCTCTCAGCATGGCATACAGAAACCAACGTGTGAGCTCTTGCAAACTTGTCTATGCATATACTATTTATAACATGTTAAAATTTTATTTTATCTACTAACTAACTAGTATATCTTACCTAATGTGTTACTGTTCCACTCAACATAGCAGTAAAAACAGGACTATCATCCTTGGGAAAGAGTTCCTTTTGTAACCCCCCCCCATCCCTAACGCTAACCCTCCCCTCCCCTCCAGCACTCCCCATTTAATTGTACATGCCCCTCCTAAGGATATCTATAGTTATCTAGAGAGGCATGTGAATGAATTGGGTAACTGGGGGGGGGGGGGGGAGTACAAAAGGAACTCTTGCCCATCCTTGTTTACAGTTTGGTGCTTGTGAACAGTGACTGATAGGCAAAGAACTGGTCATTCAAGATCTGAAAGATAAAATAATGGTGCAGTTTGCTGTTATTATTGAATGCATGGTGTCTCGTATGTATACGTTCCTGATCAGTACGAGAACGACGTTTGTGATGGGGCATTTGAAAACTGAGACTGATAATTCACTCTGTCATTTTTTGCATGTGTCTAGTACTTTGTATGGTGCACATGCAGTGGTTTTTATAAGTGATTCAACCCAAGATGGTAAACTGCCAACATTTTGGTTTTGAAAATGTCACACCTTGGACATGCTTTTTCATTTTTTGTTCAAATTTGGTACATTATACTATACATATTGTGAAACATGTTCATGACAATTCGCACATGCTTAATGATACTGGAGATGTGCACTTTGAATACAAAAGTTGCATAAATACGAGAAATAGATTGCAAATTTAATATACCCGATTTTTTTTATGACATTAGATACGTCTTATTCAATCTCAATTGCTGACTATACACTACAAATTCATTCAGAAACAATTTACCTGGTCACATGACCAGTTATTTGCATATCCAATTTGATTCCACGTTATAAATGTCCATGACAATTCAATTTGTGATCCGATAAAAGACAAGACTTGCTGGTATCTTGATTTCTGGGCATATTACTTTATCTTGGGCATGAATAAAATTTCCCCCTAGTTGCAACTTTGACAGTGTCATTAACAATGATTTGTTTATGAAATAATGCTTTAACATTTTTAAAATCTCCTTTTTTTCTTGGAACAAAAAGTTGACGGAACATAGCCAAAATAATGTGATATTTTTAACAAAACTGTTTTGATTGAATGTGAACAAATGACCGGTGTACGTTGCATCAGATAAAATACACCAGTGACACATGAGAATCTAGGCTATAGTAATTATCCAACTTTTTCGTTTCACGTGATAGACAAACCAAAAACATAAAATACAACTTATTTTTAAGCACAGAAACATCCAATTTATGCAAGCGCAGTACGTCTTCCAAACCCCCAAATCAATGCAGGGAAACTGGATGAAAATGAAATGATTCCATTTTATTTTATTTTATTTTAATATAATAGCTAGAACAGCGAACTGATATAATAGCACTTGTGTTAAAAATACCATAATAGTTGTAAAACACTGGAAGCATGGAATAGTTGATTACATGTTTATATGAAACAAAGTCACTGCTAGTTGAAGAAATTCACCTCATGATATTAAGACTATTGGCATTCATAGTAGAAGTAGAAAATATGAGAAGCATGTACAAGATGTTCACTTGAGGTGAATACCCACAATGCAATGTTAACACCTCAACTGTTCAGACTTCACTCCTAATTATTCATGAAAGTCGGATAATCTGACTGTGAATATGGTATTTACACCTTAATTAACGTAGTAATTTTTCAGATCTGGAAAGTTTTAAAGATGCACCTAAATAGACTGGTTATAAATTAATATAAAAAAATCTATTATGACCAAAAAACTTGGTATATTAGACAATAAAAGTCTGCGTCGTTGCTCAATATATAATGTCTAGTTTTAGGATTTGGATACGAAGTTCCACAGCGGGTTAAAGTTTAGTTTCACCTTTGTACGAAAACTAATTCAACACTAGTGATGAATCATTTTCGTACATCCCATATCAAGATCAACAACGGGGGAAAAACTAGTAACAATGTCCCGCATGAAACTGCTTTCAATCACACAATAGAGTGGCTACAGTTTTCACACTGCATTTATGTACAAGCAATTACAGCCTTATTTGAGCTGTGCCGCCCTCACACAGCTCAATTAAGAGATACAAACAGAACCAAAAAAAAGAATACATTACAGTTCGGGGTCTATTTTTTTCACCCTCCCCACAATATACATTACACTTTGTCTGAAATGTGCTCACTTGGAGTGACAGTGGAAAAAAATGCAAAGATGCTTCAAATTACATAAAAATCCAATTTTGCAGTACAAAAGTAATATTTCACCTATAGAGGGCGCAATTTACAAGATTACAACACTAAAGGCTTCTAAAGCACAAGTCTTGCAATATTACAATATACATATATATATACTACAGCCCAAAAATCTTTTATTTAGAAAAAAATCTTCAAAAGTTTTCACAGACATGATTTAATTGTTTTTGTGCTGATTAATGAAGAAAACGTCTTTTAGTATACTAAGGAATATTTTTCCAAATTTTGTATTCATTATTGTGAAATTTCAAGCTAATATGTGAAAAGAAAAATTATTGGACAAATAGAAATCTAACCCCATTAGAATTTTTGTTTTGGCGACGAATATTGAAAGAAAACGTCGTACCGAGTGAGTGTGATAAAAGCAGCCATCAACACTTGTACACAATACATAGTGCGACAAAAAGCCTTTCAAAATTTAAACTTACAAAAGCCACATTATATGACAATCTCCCACAATTCAAGAGTGCAATCTAACAAGCATATAATAACAGACATCCAATAATGGTATTTAGCTATTCCATTGTGAATTGAGAAATAAAAAAAAAAACAATTATCTATGTCTGAAAATGCATCAAAGATCAAATATTGAACCTGCTATCAAAAATTATTAGGTACATGTATCTTCAACAGCAGTCAACAACTTTTCGGTCAATTTGTTTTCACTCTTTCTTATGTACCGGGTATGCTAACACTGGTACCTCCTATTAAAGCAGCATGGTCAGAATTGCACATGTGTATTAGAAGTACTCTAATAACAAATGTTTACACATTGGGGCCACCTTTAGAGATCTGATAATATTCAGTTATGCATTTACACGCAAGCTTAGTAAATTAAAACAATTATAAAAATGTCATACTTGATTATAATAGTTTGATTAATTACTATAATTACTCCCATGAGCAAAATTTACGTTTTTGAACTGCGTGTAATGTATGTGATGTCCGTATAGAGTAACAAGGGAACAGAAATACAATACCAGAACCGTGGAATTCTGAAAGTGTTCTGAAAGTGCTGCTTTAAACATGAATGTCTATTGGAATCAGGCTTATAAGACTCTGCAACTTTAATACCCTGGTCAAAGATGTACATTTAACATTGAAGTGTGGAACCAGACACATGTATATTTCATAGGATTTGATACCAACAATACTAAGATCCTATAAAACTATGATTCATTTCAATTTTGAAAATATTCATAAGCAATAATTTTATATGCAAAAGCGAAAAATATATCACTAAAGACTAATTAAAAAAAAAAAAATTCAGACTGCCATTTCCGTGTTTACGCGATTTGCACAGTATATTGGTACCATGTCAACACTCACAACTTGGTAAGTTTCAAGCCCCCGTATTTACACCTCTGTCAAATTCCTGTAACAAAAGGTCAATGACCTCATTGCTATCAATACAATTCTCATCTATTCATCGTGACTGTTTTAAAAAAAAACGTGCAATAAAAAGAATACATGTATACGAAAATCAATAAGACAGAGGCAGTGGAACGTACATAAGAGAAATTGTTGATTTTAAAAGAGAAGTGACAATGGAGAGCATCAGAATGATTTAAGAAAACTTAAACACTGGATACCAGTTTTTGTCAAAAAAAAAAAAAAAAAAAGAAGATTTGCAGCTATATACAAATATAAATCCCATCAGGTAGACGTTGAAATCTAATTTGACAAGCCACAGATACACATGGCTTCACCGTTCACGTAGTATAAATGGTGTCGCCTAACAAATGTATCCAAAACGTGCAGTGGCCGTTTCAAACATGATGAATGTTCTAAAATGAAACCACTCGCCATACACCCAGATTATTACATTATCACCAGCCAATATGGAATCCCCCCCCCTCCCTCTTAGACCAAAAAACAATTGTAGAGCTATAGGTGAAAATATAACCAGAATTGTCACAATTGAATACACTGTCAGAGCTATTTAGAATGCTACAAAGTATGTATTTCACAATAACATGCAACAAATTGTAGCTGAATTCAACATGGTTATGTAAAGGACTATAAACACCAATACAGTTCAGGATATAGCATAATAGAGCTACACTCAAACAGTATGGTATCCCTTAGAACAAGATTAGACTGATATCTAAAAACCTTCGGGGTTGAAAAGTACAAAAAAAAAATTAAAACTTCTCTCCCTCAACGGGATCTCACAATACACTATTCCTCTGGGGCACAGATATTATACTTTCAAAATCAAAAACCATTAATTATTTCTCCCCACCCC